AGAGAGAGAGAGAGAGAGAGAGAGAGAGAGATAGATAGATAGATAGATAACTCTGGTAACAAGATAGATAGATTTTAATAGCTAAGCCAATATTGAGCTTTGAGCTAAAAGCCATTTGTCCCTAAAGCCCAAATTTGTCAGAAAACTCAAATGAATACAAGCTAATGCAATACAGCCTCCTCTACCAGGGCCCTTGTCTAGCACCAGCTGCTCGTAGCGAGAGTGTTGGTGGAGTAGTACCATGCTTAACCCCCGAATACTAGATGGTACAAGAGCAAGAGCTTTTTCGAGAATCCATCAACTGTAAGCGCTTCACGTTGAGATCGTTCATGTATTTTTTGACATTGTCTATACCCAATATGTGTTATATTTCTATCTGGAGTAGTTGCGTGCCGAATGCTAACACATCACCGTTTAATCTCACTAATTGCAATTTGCTAATTATCTTACGCTCTTGGCTTCCACTTTTGTTTGACTAAAAATTCATCCTAAAAAAAAACTTACTGGAAGCATACTGGATATTGTACTTTTTATACCTCACATTAGATTTTTTTGTTTTTTTAAAGCAGAGATTTTATTGTACTTTTTATACCTTTTTAAAGACTGACTGACTGACTGACTGCAAACCCCCCTGATGAAAGGCCAACACTAGCGTCAGGAGTCTAAAGCCTTTACTCTCTAACTTGAGGCAATTATAACATGGAGAAGATCTTAGTCTTTTGCACTCAAAAAGAATACAAAGTTTTCACCAAGCTTAGCTGTAAAAGTAAGCTTGCTCTCCACTTTTGCTCTCCCCCCTTTACCCTCAGCAAAAGCAGTAGGAATGTATCAGAACAAGCCAGTGGGCACAACAAATCACTTGTGGTTTTCAGATTGGTAGAGATTTACTAGCTGCATTGTTTTTCTCACAGATTGGCCTTTATTTTCTAGGAGTCAAAGTTTCCTGGCTGCCCCAGGCGTTTAAAAAAAACCTAATTGGCCAACAGAGAGACCGAGGAGCTCCTTGAATGATGTAGTGTTTTTTTTTTTGTTGCTGTACTTGAGGGTATTACTCCTTAAGATCACAGGTCTGCCTTGTGAGTGTGTAAATTATCAATTTGCAGCATTGCAAATTCAACAACTTTGTCTGGATGGTTTTCTTTGGAGTTTTGACCTCTGTGAATCATGATGGGACTTTCTTTTCTATTTGCCTTGTTATATTTGATGCTTGGCTCTCAAGGAGAGAATTACGGCGGAGCAATCACTAATCTTTGATTTCTAGCCTTACTTAGTAATGAACAGAAAATGACCTTTGTAAACTGGTTCCGTCTCCGTTTGGGTAAATTTATAGAAGAGACATTTTGGAATAATTGAATGGGTCTTTTATCTAATGTTGGGGGGGGAAAGCCTTTTATTTTGAGCTTAAAATAGAGTCTAGGATGAAAATATGAAGTGCCATCTGCACCACAGATAAGTAATTAAAAGATGAAGGAGTTATATATATACTTACTTTCATAAATTAATAAATTAACACATTTTACTGCTAATGATTATATCAACTTCACTGCTTAATTGTAACTGTGCCAAAACCAATATTCACAGATGCGGAACTAAACTGAAGGTCAAATGTGTCTCCTTTGCATTTTTAGACAGTGATATATATATATATATGCAGAATAATAGGCAGAATAGATCCTTATTATTTGATAGGCAAGTGCTTCCTGCTTTTTAAACAGAAATTTGCCATGCCAAGTCTCTGGCAACTGAGGTTTATTAACGAAAATTTCACCTAAGAAATACGGTCATGGCCCTCAAGGAGGGTTCTTCTTGTTAATCAGTCACAACTTGTTAAAGTCTCTGCCTGACTGATGCCTTAAGCGGATAACTCTACATACATCCTATTTCATTTAAATGAAACAAAGGACATTAAGCAAAGGTGAAGCGAAACAGCAAGTGGTATTAATAACCTACAGACTGTCAGAAAACTCAATAATAGTAAGAAAAAAAAAACAACATTTTACAACAACTCAACGCAACACAAATCCTAGACCTCTTTAAGCACAGATGCTTCTGGATTGTTTTTAGTATCTTACTAATTGTTGCTTGTGAAGTTTGTCACCCAGTCACGGGTGATTTACAGTATGTGTCGTACTGTAGATGATACGTAGATAACGTGTGTCAAACTCAGGCTCGGGGGCCAAATCTGTGTAATTACATTTGGCCCGTGAGATCATATCAAATGTGTGTTAGAGTTGGCCTGCCAGTATATAACCACTACATACTGGCAGAATTTGAAACATACATTTTTTTTATTTTTTTGGCCTGTGAAAAAAAGATTTACATTACAAAAGAACTTGAAAGGCTACAGATAAAAAGACATAAGACACCAATACTACTAATGTGTGTTTTATTTCAAAATTAATTTCTCATGTGTTTATAATATTGAGCTTTGGTTGATCCAGATTCTACATTACAGATCTGGAGAGAAGGGAAACACGCACAATTGCCAATTTTTCTATAAATATCACATTTGACCCGCGACTTCGTCCGAGTTATTAAATTTGGCCCACTGTGAATTTGAGTTTGAGTTGAGTTTTTCATCAGTGATGTTGTGTTTTTTTTTTCTTCTGTTATTCTTAAAAACACTTTTTTGTTGCACATTTGTTTGCAAGTTTATTGTCAGGGCTCAAGTTGCATTGCAACTTGTAAAAGCGAGTTAAGAGGCAGACTTAGACTCAAGACCTTGCACAATCTTATTAATCTAATGACACAAAATTCCAAAAATAATCATATTAATAAAGCCAACGTTTTTTTCTTTCAAATTTAAGCAAATTTTAGACACCATGCTATAATTGAAAATAAACCCAAAAAAAAAATCCTTTCTTAAAACCATCAGTAATCCAGTTTCTTACTTTGTTCTTCTCACAAATTCATTTGTAAGACAATGGGAATAAACCTAACTCCTGATAAGGGACCCGGCTAAGGTTTTTTAAAGGAACCCACCATTTCTGAGAAGCACTTTATTAGCTAGCACAGGGGGTGGAGTGTGGGGTGGCGTGGAGGGTCGGGAAGACCAGTCCTGCTCATCGATTGAGGTTGCAGGATGCATCGACAGCTGCACTTTCTCTAAATTTCTATGAGTAAATATGCACCTTTGATGTAGTGTGTGCCTGGAAGCTCTTCTCGGTGAATATCGTGTGGGTTTCTATGGGGAGAAGTAGTTCCAGAGAAGATCAATGGAAAGGGCATCAGATGGAGGAGCACACTGTCCAGCCCCGCAGCCTACAGAACAACCGAGTTGCTCCCAGAGTGGGCACTTTTCTTTAGCTTTAGGCGGTTCAACTCCTAATGCTTGTTTTGTCAGACTGAAGAATTCTAACCTTTTGTGAACGGCAATAATCTTGAGCATATCCCTTCTTGTCTGAAGAATAAATAGAAATCGCACTTTGTCAGAGCAAGGTTTTCGCACAATAACTTTTAATCAGCGCTGTAAAGTTTTTTGTTTTTGTTTTTTGTACGGTGATGTAAATCACGTGGCGCAAAATTTGCTGAAAGAATGAGTTCAATTATTTTACAAATCATTTCATTTGAAATGCTAAATGACGGACTTGAAACCGATAAATGTTCTGCCCACTGAGCACAAAACATCCAGGTTTAGTTGGATTTTGAAATTGAAATCTCCCTGACTATCGAATGAAGAATAATTTAATGCCCCTCCGTGTTATTCCATGTAATTGAATACTAATCCACCTCAGTTCTCCATCATATTGCTATTGTTTTTGTGCAGCTGGCATTAAATTACATTCCACATGCTAATAAAGACAGTATAATAGGATATGGAGAGGTTTGGCAGGTCTCTGATAGAATCTGCCAACACTTAATGAAATTACCCTAGAAAAGATAGATGCCCTTGAAACTAATTTCATTCAACCAAAAGGGAGAGAGAAAAAAAACTATGTATTACTCTGCTACTTATGTGAATTGTTTGTGAATTTTTCATTAAAGTGCAGTTTTAGCTGATTTACGTGCAGATACTTCAACCATTCATTCCATAGACTTTAATTGAGAGTTGCCGACGAGCCAATTACAGTCTTCAGGGAGGGAGAGGTCTCCACCGGTTTGAGGAATGACGGCATCTGTACGTAAGTCACGCCTTCAAATATATTCCTCCTCCTGTAAACACAACAACATCAACTTTGTCTACATTTCTTTGAACGTGGTTGAAATTCATGAAAGAGAAATCACATTTAATTTAAAAAAAAAAAGATAAAACATTTTAATTGTTTTCACTTTGTATAATTGAGCTGTTTGTCCTCAGTTTGCACAGGTGAAAATAATATCTAATATAAACCTTTAAAAAATTAATAGATTTTACTTTTATAATTATAAATTATAATGAATCATATTTACTAATACTCAACACAAGGTTGCCCTTTAAATGATTAAAATGTCTGAGATAGATCTGCCTGGATATTTTATATATATATATATATCACACCTTGTTGTGATAAGAAAAATAAGTTGTTTTTTTTGTTTTTGTTTTTTAAAGAGTCAATTTTAACCTTATTATGCTGTTGCTTGATGCCACCCAAGTACTGCCTGAGGCTATGAAACAGCAGTATTACAATACTGATACATGAGTGACTTCCTCTGCAGACACTTCAGTATTCAGGACATGTTGTATACTGTATGTAATGATATTTTGAGTAGTATAAAAGATAATGTTGAATTTTTAGACAGCACGTTTTGGTTTTTATCAGTGTGTTCCTTTGTCATATGTTAAATATCCGACTGTTACCTTGACCAAGGTGCTAACGTGGGCTGTCAGCTCTGTAACACACAGATGAACGGGTTGGTGTGAATTAACGTTCCAAAGGATTCCGATTTTAATGACTTGGTTTTGGATTTGTAAAACAACGTGGTCGTGGTGGCGCTCCACGGCGTGCTCTCTGCGGTTTTTTATTGTAACAGATGTAGAAGTTGTCGCAGCGGTTGTGTTAATTGATCGTGTCTGTTGATGTCTGTTTGATCAGTCATACCATGAACCATACAATGAACCAATGTTTTCTATGGCATTTTTATTCCATTGACCGAGTGAAGTAACATAAGTGTGTGCACATAACAAACTGTAAATGTAATTACAGACACGCTTGTCAGATGCAACTTGGAATTTCTTCCACAAATTTTTTGTTCTTTTTGCATGTAAATGCTGAACTGAATGGCAACAAAGTCCAGCTAATCCTTTGAATGTAGACTGGGAGCACTCCAGGAGGACTTGGTAGCCACTGAAGGTTTTAGCTTTACTGGGTAAAGACCTTTTCGGTCACACGTCAAGGTAACCACGCAACGCCTTGCATTTAAAACCTGCTGGAGACAACAGTGTCTGATAATCAGCTTTTTTTAAAAAAAAAAAAAACATTTCCCAGGACTTGCTTACTTACTTTTAGAACGCTTGACTTTGTGTTATCTATAAGTAATTATGTTATGATTATACTGGTCTGGTCCCTGAACCAAAATGAGTTTATACATAATATATGATTATGCAATGTAGAAAAAAAAAAAACTTTTAATCTAATAACTTTTCAATTGATTATTTGATTTAATTTATTTTTTTAAGTTATTTGTCATGGGAAATTATTTCACCAAAATCATTTAACAAAAACAAAAGTGTTGTTGTTTTTTTTTTTTTTTTTTTTTTTTTTTTTTCTGACTGTGTTTTATAAACCACAAGAAAACATCAGTATTTTGCTGCGGGTATCAAAGAGCAGTGATGGTTTAAAAAGTGTATGAAGCTATCTTTAGAGGATTGATTTCCCATACCGCTACGCAGTTGGCTGCATTGCTATTGCTATGTGCCTGTGGCTTCATGACCCTTGCTCTCCTTTGATGTGGCAGGCAGAAGCACAAACCCAGACAATGGCAGAGAGGGGGGGGAGGCAGAGGGGTAATGTAAAGATGAAGTCGTCTACAATGTGACTAGAAGAGGAGGATTATTATTTTTATTATTATTATTATTTTTAATTTATGGTGCAGACTTGAGATTTTTTAAAAAAAAAAATTTGGATTTACAATTTGTGAAAAAATGGCAAATTTTTTTTTTTTTTTTTATAACATTTTAAACCAATGATCTGACAGCGCTGTGACGGCTCAGACTACACGGGGCTGTGGTTGTGTTGTGGTCGGCGGACAGAGGGGCAAAGCCCAAGAATGGGAGATGGCGGGGGTTGGGAGAGGGCATGGCAATGGTTGGAGCTGATAGAGATGTCAGTGCTGCTTCAGTAATCGTGTGACGCCTGAGATGGTATAGAAAAAAAAAAAACAGTGAGAGAGGGAGGGAGGGAGGGAGAGAGGGAGCTGGGCAGCTGAAAGACCAGCAGCTTGGTGACAGCAGAAACAGGGACCACCCCTAAAACAGCAGCAGGGGATGCTGGGAGGGGTGGAGAGGGGCGGAGGAGGAGTGTGTGTGTGTGTGTGTGTGTGTGAGTGTCTTCCTCCTGTGTGTTGTTGACGGCCATGGTGCTGTGGTGGGGATTGAGGAGTAAATCTGTGGGGGAAGCTGATCTGCAGTTGCACATTGTAGCTGATAGTTAACCCTCCTCCTCCTGTTCCTCCCCCTGTTCCTCCTCCTCCTCCTCTTCCTCCTCCTTTCAGCAGAATGTTAGGATAAGAGGGTGGCGAGCCAGCCATGCTCACTGTGGAGGATTTTCAGCCTTGTCTATCTCTGTTAGTGTTTCCATCAGACTGCCGTGCTCTCTTGTAGCACCCAATGCAATGTACCTAATGAACTGGACGCCAGTCAGGACTCAACAGGAGATTAGGAAGCAGAGAACAGGAATTTTGCCCAGGATCAAAGAATAACAGTCGAAACAGCCGAAGAACACAGTGTTTAAAGTTGAAATCCTGAGACTTTTTTTTTTTTGCCTTTAATATAAACTGCTTATCTGAAAAGTTAGTATCGTTAAAGTAAAAGTTTTAATTCGGTCATGCACCTGAACCGTTAATTACCAGACGAACGACAAATGAAATATTCCTCTGCCCAACACAATTCCATCAACATTAGCCAATCTAATTTATATGGATATCGGGAACTCATCTCATATAAAGTCCATCCCGTCGATCCCTCCATCTTTAAATTACGTTTTAAATTCTTTGGGGAATTGAGGACACCTATCGACGCAGTTTTGCGACTGGAATTTCTGTTCCCTCTCTCCGAGTAAAAGACTTGACCTGCGAAACCGACTGTGGTCACCTTTGTCTCATTTTCCTCGCCGTGCCGTGGCAGACTTTTAAATAGACGTATTGATTGCCAGCACAGCAGTCAAGAACACACACTTTGTTTGGAACGACACCGTGCTTTTGTAATCAATGCACAACAAGGCTTGACATTGTCCTGCTGATAAATTCGCCGTCTGGACGGTAGAATTTGTCTCTTTAAAATTCCAAACATCGGCCTCTACATTAATGATCCCTTCACTTGATGCAGATGTTCATCGCTATGGATACGATGCAGCAAATACGACCACAGATGCCGGCGTCTGCTGCCTTTACTGACAACAGCCTGAAAATATCATAGAATCTAAGGCGTGATTTATTTGTTTTCTTAAACACAAACCTGGACATCTGACTTATTTCATTTAAATAAATTAACCTTATTACATTATTGTTCCTCCATTTGTATCCAATCTCAGTAGAGTAAACCTGTTCAGTGAACTTTCTAAAACGATGTTTCATATAAAAATTAGTTGTTTTGAATGTGTTTAATGACATTAGATTTATAGTAAAAACAGTAAAAAAAATTAAGGAACCAATTTAAAAATAAATGTAATTTATAAAATATAAAAAAACTCATTTATGGATATTTACATAATTTAAATGTTCATCAGAATAATATTAATATTTAACCTTCATAGAAGAGCAGTTTATTCACAGACACAACTCTAATCACCAACTAAATAAATATTTTTAAATCAAAAAAGGTCTGAAACTTGAATGTAAGACCATAAAATTATTTGAATTTCTTATCTGAAACTTATAATCGATCTGAAATATAAGACCATAAAATTATTTGAATTTCTTTTCACATTGTAAAATTCAGCTTTTTTTCCGCTTCATATTTGAAAAACAATAAAATTCACCAGAACAAATCTAATCTGTTACTGTGACAAATAAATAAAAAAGCAAAACAACAACAAACTAAAAGCTCATATCACAACATACTTTTGTTGAATTGCTGTTGTAATTTTGGTACATTTATATATTTTCCCATCCTTATACACATTGACCCCTGACCTCTGTCCAAACTCTGGTTCCTGTTGTGCAGACAGACGTTGTGTGTGTGTTGTGTACTGTGGAGTCTGGTGTGGTGTTAAATGCCTGACACAGTAATGAAATGTGATTCAGGTGGTAGATGTTTATCTGCAGTATAAATTCTCGCCCCTCCGGCCCCCCCCCCTCCACCCTCACCCTCACCCCCAGTCTCCCCCTCCTTTGGCTGCAGGCCAGACATTGCCTTCTGTTCTCTCTCCTGCTGCAAAGGCTGATTTTCCATGTTTGGCCTTTAGGTCTGGGACAATTATGTTCACCATTACCGTGATTTCTTTCTGTCGTTGCTCATAAAGATTAGACGTGGACGGTTATATGATCTGATGGAGGAAGAGGACGCTGAGTGTTTTAGCGGCGTGTGTGTGTGTGTCGTGGTCAGTTCCAGAAAATAACAACAATATATATTTGGGTTTTTTAGTAGCAGTAACTAATAGTTAGTGTCTCTAATATCAACTTTTTTTTATCACATTTAATTAAAAAAAGAATCTTACATTAAGAGGACATCATTTTTTAGTTTAGCATAAAAACAAATGTGGAAAAGAAAGAAAACAGATTAACCACCAGGGGTCGGCTAAAAAACATTAAGTGGAAAATATTTGGGGAAATAAATCATTCTATCATCTGTATACAGTAAACATATCCATCTGCATATTTATGTTTCTTGTTTTAAGGTCTTGTTAATTGAATGTGTCGTTGGTGTTTTTTAATGAGTGAGTCCTGTTTAGAGGAAAACTAGATTCAAACATTACATTCAACTAACACTCCTGAATTTTATATTCCATATATTTGACCTTCTGGATGTCGTTGCCGCATAGTGTAT